TAGTTGGTACCTCATTTCGAGCGTACCAGATCTCACTTAAGAAATAAGGTTGGATCAGTTGGAAATAGACATGTTTGGATCACATAACATGTAATTTCCATACTACGTTCCCATAATTGAACTATGTCATTTGGTTATATGAGTGTATGTGACCATTGATGGATTTAGTCACGTTAAACGTGACGAAAATTGCTTTGATCCTATATCAATATGACTAATAGATGAGATTGTTTGAAATTACCTACAATAATAATAGTAAAATTTGGAACTCATAAGGTTGTGCACATTTATATAATTACACATATGACCCGTGGGAGATTGTTGGATAATTTCAGCATAAATGGGGCCACACGTTATATATTGAAATGTGTGGTGCTATTATTTAAATGATATTAGTCAATTAAAGTGATCCGATAAAGCTGTTTTGTGACTAGTGGGTATTAGATTTCATGGAATTATAGTGTAGAGATCGGAGTGTTGTTTTAAATTGATGAAGTGCCAATTTTAAGCAACTGAAAGTTAGTGACTATTCGGTTACTACTATTATTTTATATGGTTATGGTCCTCAATTATTGCTGTTTTTGAGTTTCTCTATATCCCCATCAATAGAGAGCAAGATTGAAGTGAAGATCACCAATTAATTGGAAGATCCTAACACATCCGGATAAAGAATTAGAAACCTATGGATCAAGGTATGTTTCTGCTTTCGCTATTTTCATTCTTATTAATTTCAACATGGATGGTTATATTTGAGAATTAAGGATTTGATTATTATTTTGATCGATAATCTTATTATTTTTTTCTATCATTATGATGAATAAATTAGAATGGTTTGACTAAATTAAAGGTACGAAAGAATAATAATATTGCTACTTAGAAGGTTGGATAAAAAAAAATGTGAAACGCATTTGAATAAAATTTTCTTTCTAAAAATAAACATGGACAAGTACGAATATGTGTTACCCGACAAGCAAACATTTCATCCACAGAGATGCTACTGAATTGCCTGTGAAATTTTGTTTTTTAAATTCAAAAAGTAATTGTGAAGATAAATAATTAGAATTTGGAAAATGAATAAGCTAATTATGAATAGAAAAGTAAACTTGCAAAATAATAATAATAATAATAATAATAATAATAATAATAAAAGAACAAGAATCTTTAAGGATAAAAGTATAAACAATAATTTGGTTACTATACGAAATGTTAGTAGCTACAAGATTCGAAAAAGAATTTCTTCACTAAGGAATAAACTCATGAGAATTATAATATGTTTGAGAACTGCACTTTTTGAACAAGATTTGAAGTGAAAAAATCCCAAACTACTTGTATAAAAATATGTGAACATCAGAAGTATGTACAGGGGAAAATTGAGATGAAATAATAAATGAAACAATAGATTAATAGAGAATTATTTGTAAAACAATAATTCACTGACCTCATGAGCTTCTCTAATAGCACTTG